ATCACCAGATTAAACTCAGTAAACCCTCCACCGCCACCGCCGCCCACAAACTCCCTGGACACCTCCCCGGAATTCTACTCTATGCTCTCATGTGTCAATAATTCGTGTAATTGTTATGCCCATGTCCAATCAATTTTAAATATATAAACACTTTTAATATATAACCCTATTTAAAATCTAAATTTTAATTTAAATCAAATTCAATAATTAATTTTAACTACATATTTTATAGGTCTCATAACTTTTCAACCACTTATTTCATCAACTTCTATCAAAATCTATTAAAAATCTAATTTTAATTACTATCAAATAGGGCATAATTGATGAAATTTTATGGCAGATCTATTATTTAATTAATATTAAATTAAATAATAGAATCCGTAGATTCAAACATTAGTAATTTATTAATTACAAAGAGATGTGACTATGAGATACAAATTACATGTGATTGAATCTTAAATTATCTATGGTCGTAAGTAATAATAAGATATGATATCGTTATTACGAATAGACCATCACGTGTGGCGTTTCTTACTTGTGAAGTAACTAGTTGATCCACAAACTAAAGTCTGGTGATACTTAAATGAACACATAGATGTTTTGTTATGGAACAAAACATTGAAGATTCGCTCGAGAGATTCCACATGGATAATTATTCGAGCGTTAGTGGTTAATCTCTAATGTTCTGTAGTGGAATTGGTCATTCGACTTAAGGTCATCATAGTGCCTTATATGAGAATAGTTATACTTTGATGATATTGGATGTTGCTCTGTCAAGGGTCGTTAATACGGCATCGTTCGGGTATGTCAATAATTATATGAAGATTGTGAATGATCGATAAATGATTCTTCATTCTTAAATAATAAGAGATTATGATTTGTATTTCACTTAATTAAGTTAATAACAGAATAGTTGACCAAAGTGTATTCATAAGTCGAAAAAGAGTTTCCGACTTAAAATTGAATTAATAGTGGGATAAAATATATAATCGATAATTAAGATTGACACATATACATATCTCGTAATTGTTCGGATCATACTTACGAAATAATTATAATTTAACAGTCAAAGAACAAGTTTGTTTTGTCATACCATGTAACATTTTCTGTCACATGTATTGCCCGACATATTGTTATGTGTCAATCTGAGACGACGAATGTGAATTAATGATAAATTAAAAAGGGGTATTAAAATTTATCGATTTTGATTATATCAAAATAATAATTCACGTCGTTAGATATTGTGACCGGGAACCTAACGAGTCACACACAAAAGGAGACTTATTAGGGTTTCAGAAATAGAAGAACACGGTTCATATTCTTACTAGTATAAGAAAAGAGAAACATTAATTATCTCATTTTTGTCTCCTGTGTGAATTTCTACTGGAGATTGGACAATTGGACGACTTCATATTCAAGACAAGCAAAAGAGTTTCCAAAATTCAACAAATGTATGTTTTCTATCTAAATACAAAGCAAATATTTGGTGAGAATTGAAATTGTTTTTTCCATTTTACGTTTTGCATGATAAGTAAATTCTCAACAATTCGAATAGAACAATTCATTATCAAACAATCCGACCCAGCCGCCATTTTATACTCCTCCGGCACCATCGGAAAAGTAAAAGCCATGGTGCTTACTCACCGGAACTTCATCGTGTGAAATAATGTTTGATCAATAGATTATGTTTCATGAAGTACTGCATACACATGTATCATCGAAAGTTATTGAAAAATGAATTGTTCTTATAAGGTAATAACATCAACATTATTCACCATGTAATGAAATTGTTAATCGAAAATATAAAGTTACTCGTTTTGACAATAAGACGAAAAATGATCTAGTTCCCTTGTTTTCTTTTCTTAGTTTTTCTTAAGATCAAAATAGTAGTTTCTACATTTAGCAAAGATTGAGAACCTTAACTACAATTAAAATGTGGTGCATCAAATAAAAATTATGGTCCACCCATAGTTGTTTTCTAACATTTTCCGACTTAATGTATGCAAAATCTTCAAATTTTGGCAAAAATACTATTCATACATTAGACTGCTTATGAATACTTCAACTTTGTTCATTAAACAAAAGTAAAAGTCCCATCAAATTCTAAAATCAAATTTAGATATTGATTTTTTTTCTAGATTTCAAGCCAGTTTGGTGCACATGAAAATGAGAGAATGTATTTTTTTGAAGTAATGTGATGGGGATATATGGTTGAAAATTAAGGAAAAATTATTGATGTGATGAAAAATATTATTTTATTGAAGAGTGTGTGGTTGAAAATGAGTAGAATTATGAGAATGAAAAAAATAAGTGGATGAAACAGGGGCTAAGATAGGGGTGTTAAATGGGTTGACATGATCCATCTCGAATCACTTTAGAGGACTCAAAAACATGATGCACATCGATGATAAATTCCATTAAGACTAACTTTGACATTCTTTAACGAAAATGAATGTAATAAATATTTTGACCTAATTTTTTCTATAAATTAAATTGAATAAACCAATATGAAAAACAACAAAACTTTCTCAAAAGGATCACGCTACATGTACTGAATTTTTTTATCAAATCTTTTACCTACTACTCACAATGGGGATGATGACCACATTGTCGAAAATTTTAAATATACGCGGGCCCCACGCATTATGTAAGAGGGGGTAATCCATTATGTACAAATAGATTAACCTGCATATGACGGGTGTTGGGGACCACCAAACCTAGTCGATTGACTCGTTTCACCAAATGTCGACTTGGCTAATTCATTGGTTGACTTGCCAAATTTGTTAAATAAAATTTGCATTTCACTCATACTTCAAGAATCGACGAACAACTCGTCTCAATTTATCTTCAAATTGAGGCAATTACACTATTCATGCATTAGGTGCCTACAATTATTGACTTTCTTGCCTTATCATTTGCTGCTTTGGAATACTTCAACAAAGTGAAAGTCCAAGACCTTTCTAAAGTTATATGTGGCTTGCTATTGGACGATTTGAGACCATAAATTCAACATATAACTAACAAAATAATAATAATAATAATAAATAAATAAATTGTTGATATAAAGTTAGGATGATTGAAGAATAATTCAAACGGAAAAGTCGTAGGGGATACCGTGATTTTTGAAAAGATCTTTAAATGACTTTTTGTCTCGAGTTTCAAAATGTTTAATGAATAGCTACCTACCAAAGTAGAAGATATAAAGTACAAGCAAACCTTATCAACTCCTTGAAATAACTATTGACATCAGATTTTTCGAGTCCTAGCACTCCCTGAAAAAGCTACATGTTAGGATTTTCTTCACTTTTTATGCCCTTTTTCTCTTTTTAATTGAATTATCCATATAAGAATTCGAGATTCCTCTTCCAACTCGTTCCAGAATGAGCGTTACGGCAACAACAACAAAAAAAAAAAAAGAAAAAAAAGATGATTTCGTAAGGAAATCTGAGTAGAACGCAAATTGGATAAACGAATAAAGTCATTTTTTCACGAATTCTAGATAGTTGCGTTCATTGTATTTGTACCAATATAAAATAAATAGAAAATTAAAATCCAAATTGTTTGACCAAAATACACACTCCATAATTGAATAAAATTTCATAAATCTTATTATTTCTACGTTCGGTTTAAATAAAAATCCGACTTTTAGTATATTTTTATAAACATTAATAAAATACGAGGTTAAAAATTGTGAGTTTTATAAAATACATAGTTGAAATATTAATTATTGACTTTGACTTAATAATTAGTAAAATTAAACACAAACTATATGTCTATATATATATAGAAAATATCAAATTAAATTGAATCTATAGCGTGTCACATATTAAATATATTTTACTATTTGTTTAATAGAACTAATTCTAAATCCCGAGGGGTCGCTCAATTGGTCAGGTCTTGGGTTTGTTCTCCAATAATCACCAGTTCGAATCCCCTCAAAGCCACTGAGGTGAGTACCTGATCGTAAATTTCAGGATCTCGTTGAATTAGTCGAGGTGCGCGCAAGATGATCGAAACATCCACGATTATAAAAAAATAGAACTAATTCTATAGAAGTTTTACGTCTCTCTAGAATATATCCGACAAGTCAACATTATCCCATTTCGTCATGCTTGTAAGTTGCAATACAAATAGGGATTGAATCCTCTCGATTAAAATATTTGTACTACAATCCACCCGTGCACCCTCTCTCTCTACATTTTCATGGCTGAAATTCAATCCAGTTGGATTGACCCTAGAAGCGGCTACTGCCGGAAAACCAAGACTTTCCACAGCCTCCGTCCGCCGGTGCCTATGCCGCAGCCGTCGCAACCCCTCTCCATTATTTCTTACACTCTCTCCCTCCTCCAGTCCTCCACCAAAGCCGACTCTGCCGCTCTCTCCACCACTTCATTTCTAATCGACGCTGCCACAGGCCGCCGCCTCACCTACACCGCCTTCCTCCACCAGGTTGACTCACTTTCATCTTCTATACGATCTCTTTATCCACATCTTTCGAAAAACGACGTAGCATTTATACTCTCACCGCCAAGTCTTCATGTCCCGGTTTTGTATTTCTCACTTCTCTCACTTGGAATCACCGTTTCACCGGCGAATCCTTTGTCCTCACCGGACGAGTTGACTCACCTGATTAAACTCAGTAAACCCTCCATCGCCTTCGCCACAGCCACCGCCGCCCACAAACTCCCCGGACATCTCCCCGTTATTCTCCTCGACTCCCCGAAGTTCTTCTCTATGCTCTCATCTGTCAATAATTCGAATTGGAAAGAACAAGTCATTATCAAACAATCCGACCCAGCCGCCATTTTATACTCCTCCGGCACCACCGGAAAAGTAAAAGCTGTGGTGCTTACTCACCGGAACTTCATTGCGATGACTGCAGGTTTGCACTACAACAAATTGTCAAATGAAGAACAAGCAAAACAAGAAATGAATATGAATATCCATCCAACATGCCTGTTCACATTGCCTTTGTTTCACGTTTATGGGTTTTTCATGCTGATAAGGGCGGCGGCATTGGGCGAAAGCGTAGTGCTAATGGAGAAATTCGACTTTGTGAAAATGCTGGAGGCGGTGGAGAAGTACCAGGTGACGTCTATTCCTGTGACACCGCCACTTGTGGTGGCGATGGTGAAGTCAGGTTTGGTGGCGAAATATGACTTAGGCTCTCTTAAGAGCCTCGGCTGCGGTGGAGCCCCGCTAGGGAAGGAGGTTCTGGTGCGGTTCGAAGCCAAATTCCCCAGTGTAGACATTGGTCAGGTATAACAGCTTAACACCCGTCTATGATTTTAACTGTTGTAGGACATGGAGTCCGCTGTCAACTATACTTGTACTACATAGAATTATTCAACAAAAATATGGGTCGGTCCGCATGAGTTATTAGTTTAGTATCCTCGAATTTAAATTAATTTATACTACTAAATTCCGACAAATATTGAACTTAGAAAGTAGAGAAATTTCTTGCTTTCGATATTGTTTGATATATAAGATGAATTGAATCTATCGGCTCAATTCGTTACTTTCTATCAAGTTGAGTCGTGTAGATTTGTATGCACACAAGTGAAAAGAGTTTTCTTTTATAGTTGTTCAATACATGTAAAGCTTTGGCTCGACGGCACGTTTTGATGAAACTTCACTTATGTTCATGAAAAAGGAGGATTCAAAATCTTTTACTAGTAATTTTATTGTGTTCTAATGCTTGAATGGAAAAGTTGTGGTAATTCTCTGTGCAATCTTGTATAATAAAATGAGTTTTTTTAGGGATATGGTTTGACCGAGAGTAGTGGAGCAGCAACGCGAACATTAGGGCCTGATGAGGCTAAACGATATGGAACTGTCGGGCGCTTGTCTGAGAACTTAGAAGCCAAGATAGTCGATCCGGAGAATGGCAATGCCTTGCCTCCTGGAAAGCTCGGTGAATTATGGTTCCGAGGGCCTATTATCATGAAAGGTAGTGCACTGACGGACTCGATTAGTCATTGATGTTTAAGATTATACGAATTGAATACTTTTGTCAAATGAGACATTAACGTTCAAACATTGACAGGTTATGCTGGGGATGATGGGGCGACAAATGCAACAATCGATTCAGAAGGTTGGCTAAAGACAGGCGATCTTTGTTATTTCGACTCTGATGGATTTCTCTTTATTGTCGATAGATTGAAGGAATTGATTAAATACAAGGCTTATCAGGTAACGCTCCTATTATTGAATCTTTCATTCCTTGAGTTGAAAGTTGTGATGCGATGGAAAATGAGACACTTTGTAGGTTTCTCCGGCCGAGTTGGAACACTTACTTCAATCCATTCCTGAGATAGAAGATGCAGCTGTAATTCCGTACGTATTCTCATGCCAATACTTCTTTGAATCTCTTATATGACTTGTTTCAAGTTGATTCTATGACTTTTAGCAAGTTTACTTCGTCGTATACCTCAGTGTGCCATATCTAAAGGACAAACATCTAGATTATGAATTGTTCTGCATGTACGGGTCAGAACATCCACCGAACAACTCACATAGGACCCACCTCAATAACATAAAATAAAAAAAATTACCCACCCCCTATGTGAGTTGTTGGTTTGTTGGTGAGGGTTCACAGAATCTCCACCCTGTACATGCAGAACAACTCCTAAATTATACTTAGTCCATGTTTGAGACACTTTAAAATTTTCATTCTTATTCTTCTATTCATTTTCAATCACACATTTTTTAATAAAATAATATTTTCCATCACATCAATAACTTTTCCTTCTTCTTCAACCACACATTCTCCATCAATCTACTATTTCAAAATACGTTCTTCCAAAATAATGTGATACAAACACACCCTTAGATACAGAACGTCGTAGTCATATGAATAGACTAACATCCAATGACACGCTAATATGTTAAAATCAAGATATGGTTTAGTATTTTAACTCGAAGTTGACATGACTTATTTGGAAGCAGATATCCCGATGAAGAAGCTGGGCAGATTCCCATGGCCTACATTGTGAGAAAACCGGGTAGCAATATCCCGGGTGCTCAAATAATGGATCTCATCGCAAAGCAGGCATGTCATCATTCTCTGAACTCTGAATATTTTGTGGTGTCAATTCTAACAAATATTTAAATTGACGATCGTTAAAATTGCTCGTAAATTTATTCTTCGACATATTGAAAAGTGTGATATGTACTTCTTTGATTAACAGATTATGTTTCGCGAAAAAAATACACACTTGTATCATCGAAAGTTATTGAAAATTGCATTGTTTTTATAAGGTAATATTATCGATAGTATGAACCATATAATGAAATTGTTAATAGAAAATAAAAAGTAACTTATTCGAGACGAAAAATGATCAAATTCCCTTGTTTTCTTTTCTTAGTTTTTCTTTAGATCAAGATAGTATGTTGTATCCTTTGTTGTAGGTTGCTCCTTATAAGAAGATTCGCCGTGTTGCATTTATCAACTCTATTCCAAAAACTCCGGCAGGAAAGGTCTTACGAAAGGAGTTGATTAACCTCGCCAATTCTAGCACTTCACCAAAACTATGAGGGCTTGTTCGACAAAGTAAATCGTACAACACAAATAAGTTTGGAGAAAGAAAGATAAAATATTGTTATAGCTGTTAATTCTTCCTAGCATTGCACATCATGTATATCGATAAGACATGTTTGATATACATTACTCCACAAGACTACAGAGAAAAGAAAAGTTAATTTTTAAGAAAGATAAAATATTGTTATAGTTGTTAATTCTTTCTAGCATTGCACATCATGTATATCGATATGACATGTTTGTTATACATTACTCCACAAGACTACAGAGAAAAGAAAAGTTAATTTTATTTATTTATTTGCATTATTATTCAGCGTAGTAAACATGCAGCAATTATTTTGAATGTAGACATACACTTGTACCAACTAGTATGTAACATGTGCATTGCATGTGATTTTGTAATAGAGTTTTGAGTTAGTTTTTATCCAGATTTTTAAAAGATGATGCAATATGTCATTTGTAGACTCCGTATTCTTCATCCCTTACAAGTAAATTGCGTACTTTTGCGATTTAAATGAAGGGTAATCTTGATTTCCAGTTAAGACTTTGCAAATGTATCATTTGTTTGGAAAAATCATTGTTCTTCCACACAAGGGTTGAAGAAGAAACCAATGAACAAATGATCAAGAACACTTATGTTTATATACCAAAACTTTAAGAACACCAAGGTATTTGAATATGGATGAAAGAATATTGATTCTTTGTATTGGAATGATGATTTTATCTCAATATTGGATTTAATAATGTTTTTCAATTATCTCTTGTATTGATTATGAGATATTTATATATAAGTCTCAACTAACACACACGAAATGACGCTAAAAATCAGTGAAAGTTCGAAACTTTTCATCAAAAACCACCAAATGCAGGGGCGAAATCCATGCACGGGTGTATGCGACCGCATACCCTTTGATCGATGCAGTAACATAGATCAAAGTTCTGGCTACCAATTTCATTTTTTTTATTCAAATTTCAAATTTATTAATTTTGAACAACAATTACAACAATTCTCCACTTGTTCAAAATTCAATAAAATCTCAAATTCAAAATATACAATACTTACGCAGAAGAATTGAATATCTTTCGATTTGAATCTAACCAAAGTGTAATTCAAACAAAGTAAAGTCGGAATTAAAGGTAGGATGAAAGTTTTGAACCAATTATTCCATATGACAATATTGGTAAGAACACACACAAAAGTATTACGTGTTCTCAAGTTTCTCAAACTCGCTTGGCGCTAACATGGCCTTGCGCTCATCCTTTTCGGCACATTTTTACGAGAGAAACTCTAACTCTATTGAGACGGCACCACCTCGAAGTTTATCTTGGTGGAGTTTCAGTATCTTTGTTACTTTTATAGATACTGGTACCCCGTACTGAACTTCATTAAGAGTTTCTATTCTTGCGCTCAAACTCGCTTAGCGCTAATCTTTAGGGTTGCCATCATTGGTGGATCTTTAGATTTAAGAGTCTCAACCCTACTCGAAGTAGATATTAATAAATCTCTATTTATTTATAGATTAAAATAAACCATCCCCTATGTTCTCTATAATTGAGGAAATTATTCAATTTTTGATTAATTTCCTTATGTATTTATGTCCTAGACTCATGTGTCTAGACTGACCATTACAGATGACTTAGTATTTCATCAAATATAGCTAGCCAACGATCGATTCATTTGATAGATACAAATTGTCACCCACTAAGAAATTTTCTTACAAAACCACATGTTTCTCACTAGCTTTATGTACAGCTTTATCAATTTTCAATCATAGTTGGAGGATTTCTATTAAACACTTCAAAATCATGGGTATTCATTATTTTATTGAACATCATAATGCATTTCAACTATATGAATATTTTTCAAATATTTTAGTTGTTTTTTGTATATCTAAACAAACGCCATAATTGGCTTTCAACCCATCACATCCACTTTAAATTTAGTGTATATCATCATTATAATTATATAAGGGTTCTCTACCTTTTTTACTTCATAGACATTCTTCTATGACTACATGGTTAATACCATTATTGAAATATTACAAAGCATTGCAACTTTATGAATATTCTTCAAATATTTTAGTTGTTTTTTGCATATCTAAACAAACGCCATAATTAGCTTTCAACTCATCACATCCACTTTAGACTTAGTGTATATCACCATTATAATTATATAAAGACTCTCTACCTTTTTTTTTTTTTACTTCATAGACATTCTTCTATGTCTATAAGATATAGGAAATGTAACTTTTAAACTAAGTTACCCCCACAATTCCTTAATTAGGAATACATATGCAATCTAGTAAAGATGCATCCACAAGTTTTGAACTTTGTCATATAAATTTACAAACATCAATGTTAACCCCCATATTTTGGGTTATACTTGAACTTAGAGTTCATCAACTCTTTCGTAGTTCAATTCATTATCAAATAGATAATGTCCATATCAAATGCATCGTGAAAGTTTAGGTACTTTCAAAAATAGTGGGCGTCAATCCACAATATATTTCAATTTCACACAATGTACTGCAAATCAACTACATTTAATTTGATCACAATTTGATCAAGGTCATCACATAGATCAACAATGTTTTTCCAAGCATAAACCAACTTAATTAATTTCACACATTGTAGTATAATGAAGAGTACTAAGTATCTTGATTCACAAGAATTGCAATTGCTCAAAACATATACAATTTATCAATCTTTTGACATTTCACAAAATAATATTATGTCATGTCAAATCATTGGTATCAATTCGCTCTATACTCTTATGCAAATATAATTTTACATAAATCATCTCATTTAATTTTATCAAATTAATTGAGGCAATCATCAAAGTTAACAAGACATGAAATCAACCAACTAATTTATCATATCATTTTATATTCCAATAAAATAAATAGTCATGAAAGTTCATATACTTTCAAATAGTTGGCATTCTTTCAACATTTATACATGTCCAATAGTTATGAGTAAATTTTCTCATTTCTAACCATTCGTTGTCTGACTTGTATTAGTCTCAACAATATCCAACTCATCATGATCGAGGTAAAGGAATAACAACTTATATTGCAAATATTTATACATTCAGAGCTTGTTTGAGAGGAATTAAAATCCAATTAAAATTGAAAATATAGCCGTTATTGGGTTCCACCCGTTTAATAAAAGTCAACAATAACGGCTAATTTTTCAATTTTAATCCGATTTTAATCTCCACCAAACAAGCTCTCATTGTATAAGTTTATTCCATCTTAGTCAATATATATTATGACTAGGAATGTCAATGTCTTGTGAAAGCCCATACACTTCCATATAAGAAACTATCAATTCTATATTGACAAGTTAACATTCGGTAGACCCCTTGTCGCCAAAATTGATTTTGAGAATACATTTAGACAATGAAGAGGCTCCACTTTATAATTGCCTTAAAAACACACATGTACTTTCAATTCCAAATCCTCAATCAACAACCAAAATGTAAAATGAAAAGTCATGTTTTTCAAAGACATGCTTGATTTCCAAAAGAACACAACGTATACCAGTTTAAAGTTGATTTAATACAACTTATATAAATTATTTAATCAGAATGAATGGTATCTCCAACCAAATCATCGTGCACTAAATAAACGGAAGCCAATGCATGTACCAACAGATATACATGTTGTTTGATAAAGAAAAATATATCACACATGGTTGCTGCACAAAATTCATATTAAAACTCATATGACTTCCTACTCAAAGTCACTACTTTCAATTATATTAAATACATTTGCATGTACCGGTTCATGAAAATGAATTATGAACAAATGAAAATAAATTCATAATTCTAAACATGCAATTATATCTCATAAAAACTATTGAATAAAATCCACATATGTACCACAATACACATATTCCAATAGATTTCGAAAATGGTGATATCTTAGAATAATGATCCATAAGTAAGAAATTCTATGTATTTAAGAAAGATAAAATATTGTTATAGTCGTTAATTCTTTCTAGCATTGCACATCATGTATATCGATATGACATGTTTGTTATACATTACTTCACAAGACTACAGAGAAAAGAAAAGTTAATTTTATTTATTTATTTGCATTATTATTCAGCTTAGTAAACATGCAGCAATTATTTTGAATGTAGACATACACTTGTACCAACTAGTATGTAACATGTGCATTGCACATGATTTTGTAATAGAGTTTTGAGTTAGTTTTTATCCAGATTTTTAAAACATGATGCAATATGTCATTTGTAGACTCCGTATTCTTCATCCCTTACAAGTAAATGGCGTACTTTTGCGATTTAAAATAAAGGGTAATCTTGATTTCCAGTTAAGACTTTGCAAATGTATCATTTGTTTGGAAAAATCATCGTTCTTCCACACAAGGGGTTGAAGAAGAAACCAATGAACAAATGATCTAGAACATCAACGAAATCGCTTCCACTTGAATGAGGTTGGAGAAAATTCAAAAACAAATAATCATCAACATCTTCAATTGATTCTCCACAAAAAGATTTGAGACGAAATCCACGAACCAAAACTAGGAAATAAATGATCAACAACTTCATAGAAGAGTCAAAAGGCTCAAACACGAAGATCGTTGCCCTCAAACAATATTTGCCCCCTCTCGGATGAATTTGGTGTTTCAAGGGTTTTTCGGCAAATAGTTTGTAGGAAGTTTTTCAGGTGATATGTTACTATTTCTTGGATTAAGGGAATAAAAAACTTAAACCCTACCAATCCAAATCCAAGCATTTTTGTCCCGACTCCCGTTTCCTTTTCTCTTCCTGCGGTGCGGCAATTCTTCTCTTCCCTTTTTTTTTGTTAATAATGTCCATTAATTTATATTCATGTGTTTCCTTTTTTTATTACAAAGTACCAACTTCCCTCATTTTAACAGATAATATTTCAAAAAAAAAATCTGGGGCAGCCCGTGGACCCCCACCCCTTCATAAATCAAAGTTCTGGCTACCAATTTCATTTTTTCGT